AGGTTGGAGGCCATCGCTAGTAGGTTGGAGGCCATCGCGATTAGGGTGGAGGCCATCGCTAGTAGGGTGGACGCTGTTGGTCTGTTTAAATTGGATTCCTGACGTCCAGGCATGGGTCGTGATGGACCCTGTAGAGGCTGGTCTTCCGGCTGGTTCACCTTTGCCTCTTGGCATTATAAGGGGTGTGGTGCCCACCATGCTGAGTAAGCCAGCTTTGATCTAGAACTAAAGGAAGTTAGAAAGGAACCATGGAGAATGCGAAATTGAGAAGGGAGCCCAACGCTCACTGTGGGATGATATAGACATAAAATTTCCAGAGACCGGACAGAATATGGGGGTGTTGCTATCGGGTAAGGGAACGGGAACTGGAATACCCAAGATGTTTCCGCACCAGCTTCAGGGTTTACTACCGACCCAAGTTTGGCCAGTAGTTTTTGATTCAATCCATAAATGTCTTGTTTTTTCCAACCATTCAACATCATTGCACCAAGGCTTGAGAAAGTGTCGCCGTAGCCATTCACGGCGTGCCCGAGATCAGCGTTCTGAGAGATGGATGGATCGCCACCTATTGGAAAGCAAAGAACAGGTGAAGCCATATTGTGATTGTTATGAAGACCCCTATTGACAAGCCATATGTTGGTCTTTGTGTATGTTGGGATCCTGCTCCTTGCGTTATGTCGGGTTTCTTGTCACGTAGGGGCTGCGCTGAGCATGCTCGAGACCTAAAGCCCAAGTGAACACATGTTTGTGGCACTCATGCAGTCCCTGCACTCTGGCAGTCCTCGCACGCAAACCGTTGACCCTATGGCGCTACGTGTTGCATCTCAACGAAGAAGCCGCTGGCTTTGCGTCAGTGTGCCAACTCGTACATCAAATGAAAACACATGAATATACAATCTAGTTTTGAAAAATCGTTCAGATTCAAACCAGGTTGTTCTTGCTTCCAACGCCATGAGTTGGCACCGACTCACTGGATGCATAACTGGAGACGCGGAGACGGAGAAGACGGAGCGCTTGGTGGTCAGATCAAAAGATCATGGAATTCATAAATTCATTACTATATATATATATATACCTGCCAGTGCCTGGGAATATGAAGGGAATGAATAAATAATTAAACGCTTACGCCTAACAGCCGGGCGCCGGCCCACTTGGGTCTGTGGGGCGTATGTCACGCCTATGTTGGCCTTGGTGGGGCCTATATTGAGCAAAGTTAAGCTATCTGGTGCGCATCTTGGCCCTAGGTTGGGCCAAGTTGGGCCCATGTGGTCTATGTTGGGCACATCTTGGGCAGAGGGGGAGGGATATGGAGAGGCGCGAGCGGGAGGAGGAGAAGGAAAGGAGCAGGGGACAGGCCCAGCGTCTGTTTCGGTCGCTGTGGCGAGGCAGGGTAGGTCGAGGAGGAAAGCGAGCACGGGGGGCGCGGCGTCTGGTTCGGTCGCCGCGTGTAGGAGGGTCGGTGTTGTCCTGCTGGACACACACACGCCCGCCGAGCTATCTGGAAACAGCGCACGCAAAAGCGCGCTAGCACAGAGAATGTGGAAGCGGGGGCGTCTGGAGTTCTTTGGACATATTGAAAGCAAGTGAAAGTGGCAGAGGAAAAAGTGATATTTTCTGGGATCATTTTTTAGAAACACGTGTTAGATTGTTAGTCAAGTGAAGGTTTTTCAGGCAGAGAAATGCGAAAAGAGAAGTTGAGGCAGTGGACTGGGCAAAGGAAAGTGGAGGCAGGGAACCGGTAAAAGTGAACTGGAGGAGGGGGAAATGCGATGCGTGGCGTGGGCGAATTTTGGGGACTGTTTTACTGTGAGTCGGTCAGTGGCAGGAAACTGGCGGAATGGAACTGGAGACAGGGGAAATGCGAACAGGGCACCTGAGCAGTGAACTGGGCAAAAGGAAACTGGAGGCTGCCTCCACGGAACTTGCTGAAGGGAACTGGACGCAGGGAACTGGCTCCAGGGAACTGGAGGCAGGGAACTGGAAGCGGGAAATGGGAAACTGGGGACAGGGAAAATGCGCAGCGAACTGGGCAAAGGAAACTGGGGCAGGGAACTTGCTGAAGGGAACTGGAGGCAGGGAACTGGACGCAAGGAAGGCACAAAATTGGAAGCAGGGAACTGGAGGCAGGGAACTGGAAGCGGGAAATGGGAAACAGGGGAGGCAGGGAACAGGAGACCGGGAAAGGGGAAACAGGAGACAGGGAAAATGTGCAGGGAATTGGGCAAAGGAAACTGGGGCAGGGAATTGGTTGAAGGGAACTGGAGGGCAGGGAAGTGGATGCAGGGAACTGGCTCCAGGGAACTGGAGGCAGGGAACCGGAAGCAGGGAACTGGAGGCAGGGACCTGGAAACGGGAAACCGGGGACAGGGAAAGTGCGCAGGGAACTGGGCAAAGGAAACTGGGGCAGGGAACTTGGTGAAGGGAACTGGAGGCAGGGAACTGGGCGCAGGGAACTGGCTCCAGGGAACTGGAGACAGGGAACTGGCGTCATGGAACTGGAGACTGGGAGAAGCGAGGAAACGGGGGCAGGGAGCTGGAAAGGGTGGAGAGAGAAGGAGGGAGATATGGCGGCAAGTTCGGTGTTTTCCTGCTGGACACACCCTTCCGAAGTTTGCCTGAGGATAGCTGGAGTTGAACAGGTTTATCAGGTAAAGCGAACGGTTAAGGGAATCGGGGGCGTGCTGTCGTCGGCCTATTCTAAAACTTTAAATAGGTAAGATCCACAGTGGTTGCTTTGTTGAACTTCTGGGATGCCTTTGGTGCAGATCTTGGTGGTAGTAGCAAATATTCAAAGGAGTTGATTTTTTTGGGGGGGTGGAAAAATAGGAAATGTGTAGATTAGAGAAAAAGGTGTAAGGGGGGGGAAACTCTCGCGATTTTTTTTGTTGTTGTTGGGCGGGTTCGGACTCGCCACCTGGGCGAGGCCGAAGCTACCACCAGATGTGTAAGACATTTTCTGGTAGTTTTCCTTCAGATGTGTAAGACATTTTCTGGTAGTTTTCCTTCTGGGTAGGTTGTGCTTGCTAGAGCGCTCGCTATACCAAAAGAAAAAGCACGAAAATGTTTTTGAGCCTGACAAAATGATTTTGCATAACTTTTGCTGCAAAGTCATTTTGTCAGGCAAAAAAATATTTTGGTGTGTTTCTTTCGGTATAGAGAGCGCTCTAGCAAGCAAAAAATATCGAAAAGGAAAGTTACCAGAAACGAATCTCAAGGTGCGCTCTCTAATCCAGAAAGAAAAACACCAAAAATATTTTGCAGCCAAAAATCAAAAATCATTTGGTCAGCTTTGAAAATATGTGTGTCATTTTTCTGGTATAGAGAGTGCTGTAGAAAGCAAAAAATACAAAAAAAGAAAGCTACCAGAAAAAATCCCAAGTTTCTTGTACTGTGAGTCGGTCAGTGGCTTGAAACTGGCGGAATGGAACTGGAGACAGGGGAATGCGAACAGGGCGCCTGAGCAGTGAACTGGGTAAAGGAAACGGGAGGCTGCCTCCAGGGAACTTGCTGAAGGGAACTGGACGCAGGGAACTGGCTCCAGGGAACTGGAGGCAGGGAACTGGAAGCAGGGAACTGGAGGCAGGGAACTGGAGACTGGAAACTGGCGCGATGGAACTGGAGACTGGGAAATGGGAAACGAACCGAGGAAACGGGGGCAGGGAACTGGAAGCAGGGAACTGGAGGCGGGGGACTTGAGGCAGTGAAGGTTCCAGTTATCTGCTTTCAGCTTTTACCCAGGTCACTGTTTCCATAGTTCCCTGTTCCCATTTCCCTGTCTCCAGTTCTCCCCCTTCCAGTTCCCTGGCCCCAACTCACTGCCTCCATCGTTCCCTGTTCCCATTCCCCTGTCTCCAGTTCCCTGCCTCCAGTTCCCTGCTTCCAGTTCCCTGCGCCCAGTTCCCTGGAGCCAGTTCTCTGCCTCCCAGGAAGGCAACCCCAAATTTTCCGCGCGCTGCGCGAGCCGGTAAACGCACGCTGCGCGCTGCACGCGGTGGCCAAGGCCCTAATGGCCCGGCGTGTTTCAAGATAGTTCGGCGGGCGTGTGTGTCCAGCAGGAAAACCAAAAATTTGGCACGCGCGCAAGCAAAAGAAAAGAGAAATACCTATTCCACCAGAGGTTGGGAAGACGTATGGTTTACCTTTAGAGCCGGTAGACGTAGAGGCTAACGAAGCCTTTTGCTTGCGATTTGGAGACTGCATGACCGGACGAGGGCAGAGCGACCTCAAATGTGTCAACAAAGTTGGGAAATGGCGGAGAACAACAGGCAACTGTTTCTGCGTCAGGCTTCCAACGCAGATTTTGCGAGCTTGCGCAGTCGAAAGGCACTGCGAACATTTCGAGAGGCATGAATGTACTGCAAATAGCAACGGCGTAGCCGTATATGTCTCTCACCATGCACGCACACGCAGGCACAAAACACAAACAATTACCGAAAAGCGATTCAACCCTTGTTTTGTAGGTTGTCCGTTTTCAGTAGCGTCGGTGGAGGATTGCTCACACAACCGCTTCAAGCCGCAAAATCTTTTCACGCGCAACGGGGCAGCAATGCGTCTTTACCAGCCCAGCGGAGGGCGACGCGCATAACGGAATGGTCGAGTGCATTGACACTCATTGTTCGAACGTGGGTGTGAGCCACGATTTTCCTCAATTCAATTACCCTCCCGAAGTTGGTTTGAATTCAAGAACCTTAGAAAGAACGAGCGCCATCACATATGATTGCAAGTTAGTCACTTGATCCTCTCTATTAAATCTTCATCCAAGTACAATGAGTAGTTCCTGGCATTGCCCAAGCTAGGGATCCAGTCGAGGCACCTTCGTTGACAAGGGAGTGGACGTGAAACATGTTTCAAACTTTTGTGGAACACGTTCACGTTCTCGTTATCTTTTTGAAAACCAGGGAACAAATGCTCGAGCGTATGTTGCTGCGGGAGAAGCTGCCATGCGAGCTTCCCGGACTCCAGGCTTTCGTTTGCAAGGTTTCGGAATACGTGTAAACATGTAAGTACTAAAACTTTATTCCCAAAAATCACATCTTTTGAGCAAACCATTTGGGCAGAGCGTCAGTTGTAGGAACATCGGAAAACGAGGTAGGCATCGTGGCTAGACTGGACAGCTTAAGGAGGAAGTTTCCGCCGTGGACTTGCGTCGCAAGAATGCTTTTGTTGGTTGACTATAGAGGTTCAAAACGGTGTTAGCTTGCAGCTGAAGGACCCATGGTTTGCAAGCACAGTGTATAAGCTGGTCAGAGACAGCAGCACGTTGGCACGGTGCCTTCAATTGCATTCAGTCTTCAGACTTCAGGGGGCTTTACCAAAGAAACATGAACGTATTTAAAAATTAAGGAAGGAACCCGTTGTGCCTGAGGGGGAAGCTCGCGTTCCTTGGTTAAGAGTCGTGCGCGGGCTGTCGTCGGCAGCGGCCTCTGGAGGTGCGCGAGTTCTTCGTGCTGCAACCTGGGGCGCCCAGGCAGACGAAGGCCGACGCAACGCGCGGAGTGCGGGGAGTGGTTCGG